TTTGGTAGCCCCCGTTATCGTCCGAAGAAGTACCACGAGCCCTTCGGGATCTCTCTCCGTTTGCGATTGTAAGCCCCTGGTTAGGATTACGAGGTTCTTCATCCAATTTGGTTACAACTTCAGTTTTATTTTACTTTCACTGTAGTATAGCGGAATGTATTAGTTTGAACTATATTTTGTTAAATCTCACTTGCATGTATTCCATGAATACATCTGCAAACGACCCACAATTTTCAAGGTGCTTAAGAGCACTTTGATTTGATCCAGGTATCTCGTTTCACGTATGACCTATTCATGTAACATCATTAGAACCCAATTAGAACAGAGTTAACCACAGTGCTGACGCTGAGCAGCTGATTCTCAGCTGGTCACCACGTGGCCAGCGCCTTGCCAGCAGGGTCTTGAAATCCTCTGAGCCCTCTGTCAAGAGCACTGAATGCCTGATAGGCCAACCCGTTTACGTGTTCTTTTTTCAGGGCGATAAGCTAACTAATATACCCTAACTGTAATAATTGTCAGTGTTGTCTTGATTACGCTTTGATCACTGGCCTGGAATTCGATCAAGGGAAGTTTGATGAAGAGTACATCCCGAAACCTGCAACACCACGAACAAACCTTTAGACGGGTAGTTCTGCCTTGAAACAAGAATAGATCGGAGCTCGCAAACAAACAGGAATCCTCGCGACCCACAAGCCGACTGCCACTCTAAGAGAACTAATCTCAAAACCAAAAGATAACCAAGACAAAAACCAAGAGGGACAATGTGATATACCAAATCAACTGCAACAAATCCTACGTTAGATAAACTGGGAGGGGATTATGCACACGAATATAGGAGCACAACGCGGCCGTAAACAGACATGACTCCCAATCCGTGACATCCATACATGAATACCAAGAGGGCCAACAATTTAATCTGCAAAACGCAAAAATTTTGGCACACAGGCACACGAGACACGGAAGAGGATTTCTAAAGGCATGGCGGATCCGATCAACCGATGCATTGAACTGGATCCAATTCACGCATCACTACATGTAAATGACCAACATCTCGACCAGAGTGACCAAGGAGAACTGAATGTTGGAGTAAGATCAATTAAGGTCACAAGCCGGAACTCGGAAGGACCAAGGACAGAGGTCACCCCGGCATCAACCTGAGTACGAGGGCAGATGCCAAGCTCAAAGGTCACGTGGGCATCGACGAATCAGGACATAGGGTAACACAGCAACCATTGGAACCACCCGACCGAACAGCTGATCGTGATCCAAGGTCAGCCTCGGCTAGCACCACGCATATTACCACACACGCAACGCTACCGAACGCACATCCACCAACCCATCGCTACAGACCACCCCGCTCCCTTGACAACGCACTGATGAAGTTACCTCGATTGGTTGTGAAACGTCTGCAGTCAAATTGCCCAGCTCAGCGAACAAGCCAAAGAATATCTACGCTACCTGAGCTACAAACATTTTCCTTTATAGAAACTAGACTGAACTGAAAGTCTCCGTACTGTTAGTTGGGTGATTAATAGGCCGCGATGTTAATACGATCTGTCCTATCCGAATACATGATGTATATACATATCCTGAAACTGGCAATGAGTCAGCTGCTACTATTTGTCCTACAATTTCAATCTATATCCGGTATTTTGTCACTGACAGAGATGCCAATCTTTATTACACTAGGAGGTATTAACGTCTTGCCCTTCGGTATGCAGCTCCCTTAATCCTCAACTGTAGTCCTTCGTCGACACATTCAGCGTACTTGTTAACGTTTCCCCCACTAGTTTACGACAGCTGTCGGAAATACACATGGGCTGTTCATTATTCAAATACACATGCGTTTTCTACAGTTGCTTTGTTTGGGTAGTTAACTGCGAGTTCTCTGCAACCTAGGCAGGCCAGAAAACCTGTTCTTTCAGCCTACGGGCATTAAAGCCCATCATGCACTTTAACCGCTCCTATCCCGTTCTTTCTCGCCGTGCTGTTTAACACTTTTGCGTTTCACAGCTGGATAGACTCAGCCTACGGGCATTAAAGCCCATCATGCGCTTTAACCGCTCCTACCCCGTTCTTTCTCGCAGTGCCGTTTAACACCTTTGCGTTTCACAGCTGGATAGAAACGGTGCAAAGCAAGATGTAGCCACCTGCATCACCAACCGTCCACATTGTATTGCTTTATTCCGCGTATAAGTTTATGAACGGCTACGGACGGGTGTCGATGAGGATTCAGTACACTGGCTACATATTTCTCATTGATTTGGCATAAATTAATGAAGGAGCGTTGTTCACGAAATGCAACCATGAAGCCTGAAACCTTGAAAAACACAAAACTTGCGGGACCAGATATTTGATTGGAGTAATCAAGCTTCTTCGGCTCAAATTTACACGGATTAGCTTAGATTTAACTTCAGCTGCAGCAGTCCTTAAGGAATGGATTAACCTGCTTGTTATGGTAGCGTGCTTGAACATATTCCTCATTACAATATTTCTGAGGTATTTTGTGGTGAAGTGAACTCAACTGGAAAACTTTAATCATGTACCACTGTGCGAGACCCACTGACAATCTTTGTTGGAGCCATTCATCAGTAGAGGTACTTTATCGTGTTCTAAGAAGGTTGGTGACAAGATCGCAGAAGCAGTAAATTAAAGCAAACGGCCAAATATAGTTCCAACTCACCGTGTCACTTGGCATGCCAGTGGTGAAGTGTCCTGTGTACATTTCCTTGACGAGCACTGTGTGGCAGACTCTGAGGTTGAACAGCTAAAACCACAACAGACTTTCATGACCTTGACTATCTCTCCGTATCTGTATCTCTCTCTGCAATGGGTTTTTCCCAGAGCAAACAGCCAGCCACACTATTGTGCTGGTTTACTCTAACTTGGGAATATGTAGGGAAGATTCGGATCCATGGTTACATATGGTTATTGAAGGTAGGGTAAAATTCCGAAAGTGAACTACCCTAGGAATAAAACTTTCACACAGATTTGCGGAGATTGCACCCATTAATACCTGCTGAAATTCCTCTTGTTTCGGACATCAGCATTCCGAAAGTGAGAAGAACGTTTTTCGCAATGATTAATTTGGAGTCTATGCTGACTCCAGACCGTATGTCAAGGCGTCTCATATTTGCGTGTATCACCCAAATATTGAATGTGATACCCCCAACTAATTTCAAGGAATTGACGCAAAATAATGTGCATAAGTTTCCAGACAAGCAGTTTTCCTCACCATCGGTTAAGCTGGTGGAAAACCGGTCAAAACAGAGAGATTCTGAGAAATCAAGCGTCCACATCCAGAGGTAACATATGATGTATTTCCACTCAGAATTTTTCACCTTGAGCCACTCCGAATTTAAAGTTCTTAGTTTACCACTCGATGTGGTAGCTCTTTCGTCAAATAGTACCTCGGCAATGTCGCAGTTTGTAGTTGATTTTACGGACAGAAATATGTATCAGCTTGCAGTTAGCCAAAAAGTGAAAAGTTCTCCGTTTTTGACGGGTGAGTATTTTTCAGAGGAATAAATAACCTTTTTTCAGCCGTACAGTCACACTTGAGAATGAGTCGTTATACTGCGGGTATTGCTATCAGTATACCTGTCTGCTAATGGCAACACTATGGGAGATTGTAATCTTCCGACGCTTCTGGTAAAGCAGGAGTGAAACACGTCGGTCTTCTCGACGTCCATTGCCTACACTGTCTAACAAAACGCCTTGTTTCAAACTTCTGAATTGATATTACTTTTCACCTACAAAGGTTTTTCAGCCTGGAGAAATCTAAAATGTAGCTCTTACACTCCTGCTTTGTTGGATTGGCCAGACTTTCTCGGCCTTATATATAAACGTGACCCGTAGCTAAACTGCAGAATGTCTTCGCTCATTTAAGTTAGTTGTGATTACACAATCCAAGGCGAGTTAGTTAGTTAGCTAGCTAGGTAGTTAGACGTTAGTTAGTTAGTTAGTTGGTTGGTTAGTTAGTTAGTTAGTTAGTTAGTTGGTTGGTTAGTTAGTTAGTTAGTTAGTTAGTTGGTTGGTTAGTTAGTTAGTTAGTTAGTTAGTTGGTTGGTTAGTTAGTTAGTTAGTTAGTTAGTTGGTTGGTTAGTTAGTTAGTTAGTTAGTTAGTTGGTTGGTTAGTTAGTTAGTTAGTTAGTTAGTTGGTTGGTTAGTTAGTTAGTTAGTTAGTTAGTTGGTTGGTTAGTTAGTTAGTTAGTAGTTAGGTTAGTTAGTTAGTTAGTTAGTTAGTTAGTTAGTTAGTTAGTTAGTTAGTTAGTTAGTTAGTTAGTTAGTTAGTTAGTTAGTAGTTAGTTAGTTAGTTAGTTAATCAGTTGGTCGGCTGGTTAGTTAGATGTTCCAAGGTGCTCAAACCCCAAAATGATAAGTTCACCCTTCTTCGTATTGTTGCGCTATCAATAAACACTCCTTGATATCGCATTTGATGGATAACTTATCCGATTCGTTCAGTTTATTTATTTTGTTTACGCAAACAACTCACTGTGTGCTAGCGATATTCTATTTAGAGAAACCAAATGGATATACTGCTCGCAATCCATAGTTACTTTCAAACCAACCGAAAAATTCTATCATATCCGACGTCTCTTGATTATTCACAGGCTAAACCAAAACAAGCTGCTCGTCGGTGTGACGGGCGGCTTCGAGATCGCCACACAAATGGCTGAAGCCAGAACAAATAATTTTGCATCTTCACCGACTCAAATCTAGGTGACCGCATGTTCTACGCAATTTATATCCGACATGGCACATACGATTTCGTTTAACTGGCGTCACTCTTTGGCAAACATCTCTGCGTCTGACAGTATCTGGGCTTTTAGTTTTGAAAATACCTAAAGCGTTTGTCTTGAATTCGACTTCATAAATCAAAGTTCACACCTTTTCCTGGTATTTACTTAGTCTTTTCTGAACTTAACCTATCTGTCTGCCCTGTTCTGGCTGCATTGTACTTCAAACATTTCTCTGTTCTTATTTTCTATCTTTCTAAGTTCTTCTCTGTGCTTGAAGTGGAAGATGACCTAGCATTCCTCCATGTGGATGCCCCCAACGGTGAGTTGATGATTTGTGCGTGTGGCCTGAGGAGTTTCTGACGATTTTGCCATTTTCTACACTCCATTGAGTTTGAGTTTTTAGCCTATCCAGGAGCAGATTTCGTCTTGCAGCCTCTTTGTGAACTCCCATGCTCCACGAGAATCAGAGTTTTCGCGCAGTATCTGGTTGGATCAGGTACTCCTTAGATGTGTAAATATGGATGATCAGTATGAGACACATGTTGATCAATACTTCCGGAATTCGGCTGCCTCATGCTGTCTATACACCGAATATGATCACTCAGTATGGCTGCTCAGCATTACTACCTCCAATATCATTACATCTTAGATATCACCGGCTATTAAGCCGGAAACATTCACCCTAGGTCTCCTGTAAATCAGCTGTCTCTGTGTATCTCCGAATCCTTTTAAAATCCGTGCTTCGCCTCCTATTAACTCTCTCTTATACGGTTTACTAAGCTGCAGGGACTAAGCACCTATGAGGAAGGATATTGGCAAAGGTGCATCACTGATTTTGACGAAGCTTCGTATGCATCTCCATTAAAATTCCAGAGGTTTCCATTGGGGCAGAAAACAGCGATTTTTTAACCCGTTTGCGGTAAAATCGACTTAAACGTCTGACAAAGTGGATTTGACTGTACCAGTTTCTGCAACTTTCGAGCCCCTCATGTTCGTCAAAGCTTGTGACCATGGTTGTTGAACGTAACCCAAGTGTTCCGGGATTCATAGTCTTTGACTGCATTTGTTTCTGTCAACACCGCTGTCAACATTCCGTTCCCTCTGTCAGGTCATAGATGATTATTGTTTTGATTTATACTGATTTCTTGTAAGTGTTGTCTTAAACAGAGTCACGTGACTTGTCATGCGTCCCAATACCGTCCCCGAGCAGCCAACGGACTCCGACTTACGAGTACAATAATTTCTTTGGGTTCGGACTGGTGAACTTGAGCTTTTGCTTGTCTTTTCAAAATGCTTACATATGCATGATTAACGCTGCTTCCTTTTGAGTGAGACAAATTGGTACATCCTATTCGCTGTTTGCTACAATGTTAAAGTGACCGCCAGATGATCTATGGGCAAACATATGTTCCAGCTGGAGTTATCGATCTCATTTTCATGTGCTGGACAGGAAAGGAAAATACATGAGTTTCAAACTTCCCAACACCGTGGTGTGCGCACGGTGTTGTGTCAAAAATCTACTAACAACATCGAATCGTTCAGCTACCAAACGGCTAAAGTTGCCCACAAGATTTACAAACCTCCCACCTGAAACCGAAACAGTGCTTGCTCGGTCGCGTCGAGCGGTCGCACTTCACTCGTACACAAGTCAGCATCACTGTTGTGCCGGACAAGAAAATACTCTGTAAGAAGCTTCTGGCCCTCATTCGAGCTGTCAGTCCCCATGACTATTTCACAATTGTACTTCAAATGGTTGGTGTGGCAAGCAAGCTGCTCCAGTTGATAGATCTAGTTTATCTATTCTTCATATGGTGCTTAATTCAATTGAATTTGTTATGTATAAAAACGAGCTTGCCAAAAGCGTCCGGGTATCATCCTAGCTCATCACGATCGCCTCCCAATAACCAACCTGTCCGATTTTTCATGTTTATGTTCTATTGCACTTTACCAATTTCTTGGCATTCACTTAAAGCACTTTTCAGTCAATCAGGCAGGTCAGTAATATCTGTGTGCACCCAAGAAGGTGAATTCTCAGCGACTAAAACCTTAGGAGGTATGGTGTGCTGAACAGAGGGCACTTTCAACAGCCACTAGAGTGGATTATGACTGACGGATAGGCGAGATAACATTGGCGAAGGTTACTGGGTTACTTAGTAGCGCTTTCAAAAGCAGTTCCAAATGTTCTCTTCGCATCCGAAGTGGAGGGACCAAAGTTTATAAGTGATATTTGTCGGATACAATTCCAGGCGAATGGTTGTCACAAGACGGGGAACGCTGGCCAAAGACGATAGTAAGTTTCATCTTTAAATGCGTGGGATAGCGCGACAAAAGCGGAAAAAGAAACAAACGAGCATTACCACCAATGTGAGACGATGAATGCCATAAGAGGCTCCTTTACCGGGGTTCTCGGGAAGAAAATAACGAAAAGAACAAAAAATAAGGTGACTTACTCTATCAGACACAAATGCGTGCTCAGATTGGGAGTGACTAGTCAAACGTAACATCTGAGTACTTAATTGACATGGGTCTAATGTCGATCTCATAATCGGCCGTAATTGTTTGAAAAGAATTACAAAAAGCCTTATGGTTTCCACCAGCCAAAGGAGGGGAAGAAATCCAGATTCACCGAGACTGAGCGGTTAACCAAATTTATCTTAAATATAGAGGGAAGAATGTGTACAAAAAGTAAAACCAACCCACCGACTTGTACTTCGAATAGGCGATAGGGGACGGTTCCTGGTCTACAAGGAGAAAGAAGGGAGATAAAATGTTGCTTTGATGTGCCACCATTTATGGAAAGACAGGCTTTCTGCCCTTATGGGTCATGAACCGCACGTGATTGTGGGAGTCATTCAGCAGACGATTGGCCGTATCATAGCTATGGGGAGTTTGTCCAAGGAGTTTGTTTGACACTGTGTCAAGATCATCAAAGATGTTTGCATAGTCATATCAGTTCCGCCAAGTCCTTGGGGTAAGTAAATTCGGCAGAATTGCAAGCCAATATCCGACCTTGGAACGGTTGAGGATGTGTAAAAGGGTTATTCTTCCGAAGTTGTTAAGTGAACCATTTGATTTTCATTCTGGCCACCAAAAAGGCAAACGACTAATCTTTTACATGTCTAGCCATAGCAAGGGTAACACATTTACATCAAACTGTTGTCAGTGAGTACTGTCCAAACACCCACAACCGACTGTGGATCGCAGAATTTTCTTTCGATTATACGATAATTCAATCACACTTTGCGATTCCTCATCTTCGTATCTCGCAACGGCTTCCAAGAGCTTTGTCATGATGAAAGATTTTTCAAGATCAAACATCAGTTCTCAGAGCGCTATGTCATGCACGAACTGTGGATATCTTTCAAGCCCAGATTGAAATCCCAATTATAGTATGGTCACATTGTCGCTCTTGCCGATAATGACACAGTGACACCTTACTCCGCCGACTGTCTAGAATGTTAAATATGTAGAGAACTCAACCGTTTCGGTCTGAAATCCCTTATTTCAGTGAGGTCGCACTTTAAATAGCGCAGCTGGCGAGAAAATGAAACTGACTTGCATTGGAACCACTTTGAATGCAAGCTCTAAACTTCTACCCAAGTTTATCTTCTGAAATTGAACCAATCTGAGTTTTAAATTTTACGACCAACCTCTGAAACGATGGTTCCTATAATCTGTAACAAAACTTGCCTTTCCGCCAGTTCAAACAAGTACTTGTTTGTTAGCTTGTTGATTCTGATTGGCATACCGCTGGCAAATCCAATGTTCCTTTGAGGTTGGACGGTTCTGTTGAAAATATCCACCTCAGTGATTATGTTCATGTGAATCATTTAATTTTTCCGTAGATTATTTTAGACTAATAATAATAACAGGTTAGCTGCAATAGTGCCTAGCTGCCAAACCACCGAAAAAAACACGAGGACTAAAATGCAGCCACTCTGCCCAAGCATAGGTAGGAGCACTCAAGATAGATAGATAAAGATAAATGATAATACACTCATCTGCAAATCAATTTGGTTTTCACAAGAGAATCAACTGAATCTCTGGTTTATGATATTCTACAACTGAATGTTCTACACACAGGCTGCCTCATGATTCAGTTGGCATTCACTTGTAGAATACCATAAACAGTCCAATTTGGGTTCAAGTAGAACATGAGGTTGACGGAAACTCGGGGACTGCGCCTACCTGATGAGCCCCAAGAAGGGCGAAATCAGTCATGGCCTGTCGAAGAGTTTTCAGCAACCTTGTGAGTAGTTTCCCTTACGAAAATAAATGATAATAGTTCAGTTGCAACGCCCTTTTGGTGCCTAGCTTTCAAGTCACCCGAAGAAAACATAAGGAATGAGGTACTGTCAGGTTGCACAAGCCTAAACAGAACAAGTCAAGATGCAGAGGTCGGGTTCGAACCTCGGACCTTCCGCTCAGTAAACTCGCGCTCTATGACTAAGCAACCTCGACCCGATGTGCCTACAGATCAATGCTGAGATGGAAAATGCATGTTCCTTGTACGATCTGAGACTGGCTCCAACCACGAACCACTGAGCAATGTCATTTTCGTTTATTCATCCAGTAGTGTTCAGGAGAAAAAACTGAAAACGCTCCTAAAATGTCAGTCTTATAGGTCACCGAATGCAGCGTTCGTGATTGTAGTTTGACGTCTTTATTCGCTTCCCACAGATCATTGTTTGCACCTAGTTCTCTGTTAACCCGGTTGGCACACCACACACACACGTACATCTCTAGAGAGCGAACGCAGCCCTCCCATGGTTGTTTTTACTGGCTTCGCTTGTAGCTGGTAGAGGCCCACCAACAATTAAGTCGGACTTGCGCAGGCGCTGTAATCCTGCATAGACCGCACGCATGAACGTCCTGTGTCATTCAACGCCACCTGCGTCATCCCTTTTGTTACCCCCGTGATGCAGTCAGCCTGCCCCCACATACCGTTCTTTTATTTATCCTTTAATGGCCCAACAATTTTGAACATGAGTCTTCCAGTAGAATCCTGCTCCGAACATTTTTCGCATCAAGGTTTCTATTCGAACGGAATGTCATGGAAACAGAGGAGAAAGAGACACATGTCAACTCATAGCATATTGGCATCCAGTTATGATGGAAATTAATAAGCCGTGTTGCGGGCTTTCTAGTCATTGCTAATGTTCTTCTGTTTGAGTCGAACCTCATGCCCTTACGGAGACACATTTTGCCATGTCACCAGGTTTGCCAGTTTCCTCAGTAATGGATGTGGACGTGAAAACGCATCAATCTACAAAGTAGCTGGCCTAACGGCACTATGAACCCAAATGTTATAATTTCCCGGTTTCGTTCGAGTGAGGAAGAGTCAACCTATTCACAGAAGACACCTAGAAGGGATTTCGGTTTTCAGATATTCTTCTAAGGATGGTGCTTTTCTCAGAAATTGACTTCTCAGCCTGATTTCTACAAGGAAGATGACCATTATCAAAACTCTTGAGTGGAAAACACCAGAACAAGAGGTATTAAACGTACTTCTGGTGCCACTCTCATCAGCTCGCCGCTTGGAGGTTCCTGTGCTGATAGCACATCGTGGCAGAATTTCGGTTAATACCCTGAACTGTTCGTGTTAGTTTAGAACGCGTCCTGTGTAACTTTCTAATCACGTTTGTCTTGTTGTCTGTTCGTTACCTGTTGAAATCCTCTGGTAGAACTTCGTCTAAATACGGACGTTGTTACTCCACAACCTTACGAAGGAGCTGGTGCTTGGTGAATGCACAAGATTATTGTATCGAAAAGGATTCGGCTATCCCTGAGAACACCGGTCACAGGAAACTCAGGCCATGAGGAAAGTGTGGGAATAGATCAAGCAGCAGTACGGAATTAAAGGACACATCAGGTGCATCATCATATAGCAACTCAAAACTCGAATTCCAAGAATTTCTTTGATGATATTCTATATGGGCAGACTGATGATGGGGTAATGGAAAGTCTACTCGGTCCAGTAATCGCTGACATATTTACGAGTCATGTAGGGTGCGGCTCAGGCATCAGATACGTTGATTACAATTTGGTTTTTGTTGAACTGAATCGATAGGCGCACAGACTACTTGATTACACCTTTCGAAATCCACCAGCAACTACAGTGAACATCACAAAAAAAGGGGAAGAGCCTTCTCGTGATTATCACGTTGCTGTTTCAAGGTGTTGATAACGATGCACATCTGAAACGTCGCCCAAAGTGATTCACTAAGTGTACTCTTCACAATTTTCTGTGCTGATTCTGCTTAAAACCAAACGGCTTCTCTCAGAACCCAAGTTGGATAAGCCCAGTCATGTATCTACCTTTTCTAATGTATTGGCAGTAGCGAGTACGTAGGACGAGCTGAGCGAGGACTGTCCACAAGGATTTCTGAAGACGTTCCCGAAGGTCTTGCACCACATGAGATGAAACCATCAACAACCTTGACTGCACTGCAATCTGTGCACTAAATTTACCGTTCCCTGCTATTTGCTGCTGACGTTTGACAGATTCAGCCCTGTTTGTGTAAACAACTAAACCTTACGGCCTTACTATGGCGAGATCCCCTGCTATAGGGCTCCTTTCCCTCTTTAACTCGTTCTCTATGGGTAAACATGTCTCCCATATGACCCTCGCTGGTCTTTGTTTATATTATTGCCTCACGTTGTCGTGTTTCGTCCTATGTGTACGGTCGTGTATCCCACACCCCGCTGTTTTTGACTTTTTTTAACCGTGAAAATGTGGGTGCTTAAGCCGTCGACTGAGAGTACACGAAATAACTGGATTCACATTATTCCGCTGGGCTGTTGTTTTTCGCTGTTCCGTCAAGATTCTTTTGATGTTTGAATTTGCTGAAGGAAATCATGATTACTAATTTGGGGTTCCTTTTGCTACTGAGTTGGATTAACTTTTCTTCTTCAGTATAGTCAATCCACTCTGGTGGAAAACGGTGAGGGGGTTCTTCAAAGGTATTTCAAAGGAATGGAACATGTTCTAGACTGTTAGTTGGGTAGCATAAAATCCGGTTCGAATCACAGACCTATTCAGTCAATTTGGAGTGCATACATTTGGAGTATGCTGTACCGCGACAGATGCCTTGGAACTGTCGTAAATTCTTTCTTTCTTGTTCATCAGATACGGGATATGGAACATTGTTCACGTCGGACAGCAGTGGCCAGATATTTACTGAATCACTCCGTCAACATCTTTATCCAAATCATGCTCCCATCACCGACTTCTACCGCGTCGCCTCAATGCGTGGCACCTACTTAGCGACCAGACTCAACCCGGACCGGACGTTACATACTGTTATCACACATGACCGTGGGGCGAGTTGGAGAGCCCTCGGTGCCCCTCTAAATGTAGATGGCGCGTGCAATAGTGACGCATCTGGCAAAGTGGATGAAAAACAATCAACTCCGATTTCGACCGCAACATTTTCGAAACAAGTATTTAGTGACACGAACCGGGACAACAACAGTAGTTCAACTGCTGACAGTTTCCGCTCCAATCCAAAAGACGCCTTAGATGCAGAGTCCGTGGGAAATGACTCCCTTGCAATGGACCCCTCAGCAATCAAGGTTAGTCTGAGATTGCTGTTCTGTCATACTGACTCGCTTCCATGATCCAGTACAAAATCATTTGTCTACTAATCGGTCTAGGTCAGCTGTTTAATATGCGCATCTAACAACAATGATGTATACTTTGAGCACTCTTTCATAGCGAACAAGGCTTCTTATACAAAACTTAACTCGCTTCAATGCAGCGCATAAAATGATGAACATATTTTTAGTTTTTCTGGGTCCTGACCTTGAGAATAAACTAACTTCCCATAATGGGCCTTTTCCGTGACGTCTTTAGATGAAATATGGAAGCACTATCTTAATCGATGTATCCGGTTGAAAACCTTCGAAAAAATACCGTCCTACCCAGTTAAATTGTGTTCGACACCGACCGGGAAAATAAATACTGACTGGATTATTCATTAAGACAGAGAATGCTGAAGGGATTTTGTCTCTATACGAGGTCTAAAAGTATCAGAATTGAGGTTTCACGCCTGAAACATTGTGCTAATATCCTTTCTTCAAAAATGGTAGTTCTCTAAATTCTACCGTGTCAAATCATCTGCAAAATCCGCCTCTTGATTGGTAACTTACCCCTGAGCAATGCATAATATTTAGACGTTTGTTGGAGTATTCTTCAGTATTCACGACTGATGGTAGCTTGAAAAGCAAAGCTGATTCTTGAACGATTTCTTCCAAATTGAGGACATCTTTTACACAGCGAAGTTTGTCAGCTTCCCACTCAAGAACTCGAGCATTTCCACTGCATTTAGTGAGCAACTCATTTGGTGGTGTGACTAATGGAAGCAGTTCCCGGTTGTGCTTCCAGTCGAAGTGTTTTCTCTCGTCCGATGAACGTGAGATTGAAAAACAAACCTAATTGCCAGTAGAATAGTCCAAGGCGTCAAAAGTGCGCTCATCTTAAGGGTATGACTTGTCTGAGGAGTGTACTGCACACCACTGAAAGCATACAAAATTCCACGTTGGAAGGGTGCGACAAAACGCTTCAGGTCATGTGACTTAGGATTGGCAGGATCACGTAAGGTGAGTTAATTGCGAGACAGACTCCAAGGTCCAATTTCATATCCTAATAACAACACTAATACATCTCTCTGAGATATATTGGTACGCTGCATGGGATGAGGGCAGCAGTAAACTCTGTTTCCATCTGCTCAGCGCCCACGCTAACCTTAGTTTGTAATGATGGGGATCTTGAGATTCTTTTACCGACCGAATCACTAACATTCGGTCATGTAGACAAGACTGTTTGACGATAAACAGAGGATCATTTAAATGTAACTGCATTAGCCCCGGCGCAAATGATGTGTCCAGAAGTCGGAATTACGCATACAAGGCTGTTTTAATGTCGGTACTGGGTGACAAGCGTTTCACCGTACGCTGCAAGCTTTGTCTGCCGAGGGAATTTTATCAAAATAACCGAAAGCTTGAGGAACGCAATTCGACTTGAAACCACTGTGTCACTAGAATTCACAATGAGGTGATTAAGATGCTCGGTTGATTTCACCACGTACGCCTCCAGCTCGGCTACTTTACATGGATTTCTACTGTGTGATGCTTATAAGCATGGAGTAGTGTATCAATTAGGCTAACTTGTTAACTCTAAGTCAGAGAGAACCCAGTCAAAAGGATTTTACCGGTATAGTTTCAACTATACCTGTGATCTAAGTTCTTCACAATGATAATGATTGAATAGATCTGGGCAAATGAAAAAGGGAAGCCCAACTGCGGGTCCTACTTGTGATGATGGAGGATAAGAAATAGTCTCGCGTTCGGGTTAATTCCGTTCATAATATCCACGTCGCGTGTTTTAGTTAATTGTAACCATTGGAGCAGGCTGAAGCTATTCGCCTTGTTCAGCAACAGACTCCTTATGCATTCATGTCACTCTTCTAGGTGGGTTTGGGCAGACAGTCGTGAAATAGATGCATCACCCGAGTGCAGCTGTGACCATTTTGTTTTCCGGTGACTGTCTTTGAAAGGAAAAAAAGGAGGGAATGGTGCCAACCTGACTGTGGAATTTAGAGAGTCATAGATTTCTACAAACTTGCAGCATTATAGCAGGCAGCCAACCTACCCAATATCCCCAGAAAGGCACAACAAATTCCAGGTTCACACAATCTAGCAAGATGCGTTACATTTATGGTACAGCGTCTGTCTGCGGACAAATGTCCGATGCATTCAGAAATTCGACATTGAAACATCAGTTCCGTATAAAATAAGTGAGAATTCTATGTTAAGCGATCTTGACGGCCAATCATTAATCGCCCGTATTGTATGTTTCGATATAAATAGTTTTTTTCCAACTGAGTTATTTCTGGTGTTGCTCCCGGTAATCGGCATCTTTCTTTGACGTAAACTATAGCTGTATTACGCGAGAAGCATCAGGTGTGGTACTGCTCCCTTACTGGAAGCATCTTGTTTGAAGTTCCCCGTTCAACCTGATACTAATTTCACGGAGGATATGTGTACCTTCGTTTCTACTTGCGCACAAACTCATACTAGGCTTTCTTGGAGCATGCAAGCTTCGTGCAAAATGCTCCCCACGACTGTTTATAATGCTTGTGATGGGTCTGTTTTGATTGGTATCTAAACCTCGTGTGCGCAGAAAGAAAGTGATTATTCGGTTCTGGAGCAACACTGATATATCGGAAATTGTGCACCCATGTGATAGAGACATTTAGTGAATTCAAATATTTCCGGCGCTTGGTCGATCGATAACTCGGTTCATTTACATTGTTTCGGCTGCACCGTTAATGCGTTTTATTACTGATCAGCTGACTCCGTCCATGCACCCAAGAACAATGCGTGGAAGCAGAATACAGCACAACTAAAAGTGATCTCCTGGAAGCGATAAAAAAAAGGAAAAGCAGCATAGGCTTCATTTTCGTAACTGGACCAGGTCAGGTGGATACTAGGGTTGAGATTCTATACGCATGCCTAAGCCTAGACAGGAGCAGTCGAGATACCGTGGTTGGATGCTAACCGCGAACCTTCTGTTCAGTAGGTTCTGACCCTGAAACAGATATTCTTCCATCGTTAAATTTACGATCGGTTGTTTGGCTTCATGAAACAAATCAGCTCGTCACGGCTACTCACGAAAAAACTACTCGCTATGGCTTTGATTGCACTGGGTTACTGATTACACTAACCTAAGTCAGCTTGCAAACGACTGTACAAATTTAATACTGGGACGATTATTCAGTCAGTTTTGACCGCGGACTGATATCTTTAGAACTGTACAACTCGGTGGTCCTCCATTGTAAACTGTTCGCAACATGTGTACACAGCGTCACCCTATGTGTCACTGTTTTCTGGTCCAAATTTTCTAATGTAAGCGACTGCGGACATTTCTGGTCACAGCTTGGAGATAATTTACAGTAGGTACTATGTTATGTACTGTTGGACGCAGGACTATAATCTGCACTGGTTGAATAATTGGCGGCTTCCTAGACAGGTCTAGACTTTTCAGGAAAAAATTTTGAGGTGGTGACTCATTTCCACAGAACCTTCAGAGGATCCCTGTAACTACGCACTGGCTATAGAAAGATGAGAGAATACTAGAGTTACCATAATTACTGCGGCCCATGCCTAATCTTTTGCTGTGCTCTTGTATCACCATAAGGTCTAGAAAACGATTGGAAAGAACTAAGAATTGAGCGAGTGGAATCGATCCTGTTCAGTTTAGCGGCGAACGCTTGCACTATTGATGCCTCCGAGTGTTGCTATCGTAAGAATACGCCTCCGTATAGTTGCCCCTTTATCCAACTAGTGATTGCACGGGCTGAATGAAGATGGCAACCGCGGTAAACACCTGGGGGGATGCTGCCGTCGTGGTCCTACTGGGCGAGAATGTGTGGTTGAGCAACGAACAATCATTAGCGTAACACCAGTTACTTCTATATGTAATTCACAGTATTTATTCTAGAGAATTCGAGTCAAAACGAGAGCTAAACAAAACGTTAGCAACACAGATTCACCAGAGGTAATATTTTAGATCGATATGTCCTAAAATCTACCCGAAACTTCCGGTCCATTGAATATGGTATTCACAGAGTAAATTCACACTAGTAACTTTATATTACATCAGCCGTACACAACCGACGTAATGGTTGTTTGAAATCCTTCGATCTATCTTTTTTCTAAGTCACCTGGATATTGGTTTTTGATATTCCTAATTTGAGCAGTAACAGCTGTCAAAGTAACTGTTTCCGATAGTCACAGTAAATCCCTGTAACAAAGCGCTGTGAAAGATTGAAAAAATACATCTGGCTGTGGTAGGACCGCACATAAACGCGATCCGCACCGTGCGTCGATTTCTTAATCAGGTTTACAGATTGGTCCACAAAGCCTAGCGATACCGCGTAAACCCAGCTGCTGGCTTAATGTAAAATGATCAGTAAGGAAATGGGTGTTGTTAGATCTTTTCGTATTTTTTCTATCAAGGGATTATAACTCAAAGTTTCCTGTAGAGGAAAATGTTGGTAACTCAAGCAGCATAGCACAAACACCAACCCATCGCTACGAATCACTACTACGCTCCCTGAATACGCACTGATGATGCACCTCGATTGGTGATGAAACGTTTGCGATCGAATTGCCCACCTCAGCGAGCAAACCAACGACCATAACTCAGTTTTTTTCCGATAATTTATTAACATAAGGACTCGCAACGCTTTGCCATATGGTTCTCAGCATGCACCGCATCGAATCAGATTGTCAAAACAGTAAAAACTGGTGGGTTTTTCCGCGACGTATGGTGCAACTGGTAGCGTTTGAGACGGTCGACACACACTGTAGCGGTATTAGTGGCGATTAAATAAAGGGCTGAAAGACTAATCCAATCGGCAATCCGCTTTGACATAAATTGGTATTAAAATGAAACAAACTCAGAAGCTAGGTTAACTTAGCAAAGATCTCCAGTACGTTGAAGGATTGCTTTGCTGAATGAGGACGCTGCCATCGTCACCACCGTCAGTAGAACAGTCATTCTTAGTCATGTCCTAGGTATGGGGTGGTGAATACTTTAATCACAGGTACATTATTAGACACGGCGGAGCTTCAAGAGGTCAGGAGCAAATAAAGCTTCTGATTGTTGTGCTGTCGTAGCTGGTGTCTACATCAGCTCCGTTACGTTTGCATTTGCTTTTACATATTGCTGCGTGCCATTGCTCAGAAATGCCAACATTTCACGTGTAATGTACGGCTTCGTATGCGGGCCCAATTTGGTGTACTGTTCAGTAAAAAAACAGTTTCTAACTCGCAGATGTCTTGTAACAATTCTCGGTCGGTCGTTCATTCTTCAACCCTGTCACGATTCCATATGAGTATGCTCAGATCGACAAGATGGTTATCCGAGACGTACTGGGAGGAAGCGAACAAATCTTGTTTTCTCTGACTGGTCCTCTTGCCCAATACACAAAAAATTTGTGGTACCGAACATCACGTGAAAGTGTAGTGGAAATCACCCATACATACTCTTTAGTGAAAAAAAGAAAGGTAACTGGGACTGAATGGAATGTACACGGGCCAACTGGTCGTGGAATCGAGCAGGTGGTGTAAGACTGGATATTTTTCGCAGGTTACCGCAGGTTCACAGGTTGTACAAGTCCCTTTTGGAGGCAACTTTGTGGGTCATGCAGTCTGACTGCGTCTCCCCCATGATCGATAATTGTGATCGGTTCAGATGTACCCTGTAAATGACATCGAAGTCGTGCTCTTTGTCGATGAAATGACTGGTTTCAGCCTAATGTGACGCACATGCACATAGGCCGGTTTCTTCCAGGCACCACTCAAGGACACGGTATTGTGTTCTCGCATTCGGTCTGAAGAATGGTCTAAGTGTGTTGCTTGGCACCAGCATACGAACATATACACACAGAAGCTGGCGGCAGAATGTGGTAATTTGTCCTGTAAACAGAACCTGATAGTGAGTCTGGGGCTGAAAGTGTAGCGTCAATCAGCGACCGTGTATCAGAGGTAGTGAAAACCGAGTAACCTTTGAACAGGATACCAATCCAGTTAGATGAACCCAAAAGAAACGTTTCCCACTGTTGGACTACTGAACTTTCGTATATCTCAGAGGTGACGTCATCTGTAAACCAACAGCGAATTATTACAAGGTTGTACAAATGGAGTAAGAGCCTAGCACAAGAAGTTCCACTTTCTGTTTTCAGAAGCTGAAGTTTCTTCCTTGTGGGATGTGCTCCGAAGCATCTCAACTGTACTGTAGGATTTGTTGCCAACAATTCTTCTGTGTGCTGGTCATCTCAGTTTCAAGTTGCAAGTACTTTTCGCAATACTGTTGGCGATACTGTTGCGTTCCTATTCCGAGTATCGGAATAAATAAGCTGTTTATGTGAGTTCTACCAATTGTAGACTACACGCTATTAAAAAATAAACTCAACCGTAGCAGTTAAGCTGTTCACGTGACAGCAGTTTTTTCATAAATGTTGCTTAGAAAAAACATCCCTGAAACTTCGAGAATGATAAAAAACCATAGAAAACTGGTTTTCAGTTCTTAATAAAAACCGTCTGAAATGAGGATCCATACGTGTCTGAAAATAAGCTGAACACAGTTCACATCACTAATCCGTAGTTGAAATAAATCTAGCTCAGCTTCTGTGCTAAACTCTGTGGTTTCGCGAGCCGCACCCCAATGACTTTGTTCAACAGGAAAAAAGTAATATTTACCCTAATTCATGGCTTTCAGCCCCTCGAGAACGTATCTGTCTGAGTCAGGCACTCCAACTCATTACGAAGCAGTAAACTAAACCAGAAACCTCCTGCTCCACAAAGCAATCTACCGCTAACTTCTGCATTTAGAAATACGAAACTTCCCATTATTTTTCCTAGGTCGAAATACCCACTGACATCGCTCATGAAAGAGTTATGACTCCCGTTCACCTCACTCCGACATGGACAGTCATCATCCTGTCCAGACTCCGTTGGTCTGGTAAGAGCGGGAAGCACTGAAATCAAGTGTCGCTCCTGTTAGAGATCATCAGCAGTGTACACGTTTGGTTCTGCCGGGGTTTGAACTCTGAACAACTAACCAATTGGCCTGCATCTGGCCACTACGCCATCATCGCGTGTTATAATTCCCTATGGAAAATTTGTGACAACAGTTCCTAAATACGCGACTGTCAGTACGGTTTTCAAGTCGATTAGAAATCTTCCTCCGAATGGAGGGAATATTGTCATTCAGATTGTTTATTCCTTTTGAACTGGCATCAAAACTTAGTGGACATTTCGTCTTGTAAGTGAAGTTAACGTAAGGTGAAAAGCCGAGAAGCGCTGTACACCTGTTTCATCTCTATTGGGAATTATCAGCATTGATCGTCTCACATAACTCCAGAATTCTCGAACCCGCAATCTCCTGGCTAGTAGCTTGACCGTTCAGCCAAAAGCGCCTGAGCAGCAGTGTGATTATCCAACATTCCACTAGGATATAACGCCAATCATCTTTCAATCACGGGATCCACATCACCTCGTCACAAGTGTTGACTGGCTCCTCGAGTGGCGACTTCTCATAGGGGATTTTCATTCATCGCATGAATTCGATCGGTTGAAAAATGAGTAGCGTTATGCTTTGTCTAAGTATAAGCTAATCACACAGCTGGTCAGCCGCTCCTGGCCGAACTTTGAACTGTTCAGACCACTGTCCGGAAGGTCGCGGGTTCGAAACTGTGGAGTTTTTGAGATCCGCACTGCTCATGATTCCCAACAAGGATAAAGCAGCTGTACTGTGCTTCTCATCTTCTCATCGTAGGTGGGCTTCACCTACGTGACCAAATCTCCGTTAAAGTTCCCAAATCTCTTGGCACTACTAACAATGGTATTTTTTCGATAGCATTATTATGTTACAGCGACGCAGATGTTAAACAGTTGAACAAAAATCCATGTTTCAGCTTCATAATAACCGCAAAATTTGTCACGTTCAATTCAAGGCCTGGAAATCCTCAAGTTAGTGACCCAGACAAAAAGACCAGTTACGCTTCGAACCAAGAGAGTAACCTGGATACCACAACCTCTAGTCGTCCCTATTTAGCTGTCCGTAAAAGACTGTTTGTTTTGAAGTACGTTCTACATGTGCGTCACCTATGAGTAAATGCAAATATAAATCAACAGCACCCATCTCACCTCACTTCCATCTTGCACAGGTATGCGGCCTGCAAATCAGTAATCAATTTAGCATTCGCAACCGTGTGACGGCCTCAGCCCCACTGTCCATTGCCGCCGCGCCTGGATTGATTTTAGCCCATGGACATGTGGCGACACATCTGAAGAACACGCCAGCCGACGTGTTTGTCAGCTCGGACGGCGGCTACACTTGGATCAAAGTGAGTTGTTAGTTGCTAATCTGCGTGAGCCATCGCAAACGCTTAATTCAGCCAGGTAGGACAACATGGATTCCAGCTGTCTGCTTTGTTACCTTATCTACATCAAGTATAAACGAGGTCAATCCGAAAACAAACGTCGCCATTTTTAATCTAGCAATGGGAATTCGCATTTTAACAGTCTTCATGGTGTGCTTGGGTCGATTTAACCTACTCTACATCCATTTTCTAAGTAGAATGGGTACAGTAAGATGCCTGATCCGGGATAATTCAAAAAGCTATTTTCGTTCCCATTACGAAAAAACATAAGAAAAATACCCATCTTACGTGGGAATTTTGCAGGCCCTTCAGTTCTTGGTGAACATATCACTGAAACCCATTGAAGTGGTCTGTAGAGTGCAGCGCAGTGAACTCTATACGCAGTTCCGGTGAGATTAGGGAAGTTGATTCAAACCTCATTCCTATAAGCTCGGAAACTACAAGTCTCTTCCTGGAATACCAGTCCAAGCCTGGTTGATACCTTTCAAAGAACAAATATGGTTGACATGGCTTCATATTCTTCCAACTTAATCGACCGAAACAACATTACATATCGTTTCATTCATTACCCATTGACAATGGTTATACGGCAAAAGTGTGCGCAGCCGGAAGCTTCACGCCTGACGTTCTCTTGAAAGCAACCTGCGCTTCATACTTCTTCTCTGCGCAACATACTCCACTCGACAAATCCTTCCTACCGTATCAAGAAAACCATAAAACAGTACTAACGCAACCCAGCTTTACACGCCAATTTTTATCCATAGAGGTTAACTGAGAATACCGCTCATTTGTGATTGGATCAATCGTCCTCACATTCATGTTCTACTGCGCCTCCACAAACGGTTGTCCATGCTTAGGCTCACATTGATTTAGGCCTGTATTTTGTTTGTAAGAAAGGCTCGAAGCAATCCTTAACACGAGAATGCTCTCCCTACTGGATAGATTGAATAAAACACACTGTACGAGATAATGTTGACAACCACATTCATGGTTCAATTCTTGCTGAAATGAACCAATTGGCACCTGTTGTTCCAATATCTTGTCCTCTTCTCTAGTGAGCCGGCCACCAATGTAAGGCCAATAGAAAATTCCAGGAAACACTTTTTAGTGTGGGATGAGCATGTTCAATTACCGCGGTCTCAGTGGTTCCTTTTTTCTCGCTTTCTTGGTTGAAACCTTGCCAACCTGATAAGCACAGTGGACTACGCTTAAATCTCATCTAATGCAACGTCATTATCCACAGTGTGTAGATTATGGGCCTCTGTAACTTTGCTGATTTCATTATACGTCGAACAGCTGGAATTGTTTGTGTTTTTCAACTCTGCAAACGTCAATCGCCTGCGGATTTGATTTTGACAAACACGAATCAGTCCATCGTCATTCATCAGTATACCACACCTGGTCGTTTTCAATGGATAAACGGTGGGATTCTGATTACGCGTGTTTTTTTAACAATGCTAACATGTGATCCGATACATTCGAGCCGTAATTCACTGCCAACTTTTTCTCCTAGTTGTCTGATTAATCCAAGGTAAAGATTGACCATATGCATTAGATATAGACCAGGTGTAAATTGGTCACACTGTTAGACAATCTGTCTTAAGAACCCCAATGCATCAATGATGTACTCATATGCTAAGGCCTCTGAAAAAATAGCCGTCTTCGCCACGCGAGCAGTCAGCTTTGACCGTGGTACACAAAGTCAGTAGACTAGCTCACTCACATGATCCTCTTGTCTCTGAGGTGTATCCACTCGATCTAGGAAGCGATGGTTTTGGAAGTGGACGTACGACGCAGCAGGCATCCAGGAGAATTGGTCACTATCCAAAGTAAGAAGCAGATGGTAATATCCAGCGGTCCTCCTTGCCTCTACTTCTAGTTTACATATTAGATAAAACCTAGCCAAATTTTCGAGATGATCCCAACAGACAAGTCTCTCTTTCTAGAAACAAGTTTGTCAGCAGTTGGTCAGATGGCTGTTGTGCTGTTCGCCGAGCTTAGCCATTGGATTGCATACGTTGCACAACTATTCATCAACCGCGCACCGATGATGTCTTCCGGAGATGTTAACAAGCCCATCGCCAAGCTCGAAGCGAACAGCGCAACAGCTACCTGGTCAACTAGCGCCTGTGTTCGTTTACCTCTTAGTGATTGCGGGATCGTGGAATTCCGATTCACGGCACTCTCATGGGAACAGTTCCTCCCTGTTGTGGTAAATTTATCCCAGTGAGTCCACATCATAGAGGAAAAGCAGTTTACTCTGCTTTCGCTCGTTGACTGATTTGTTCGACACTTCGAAGAACGACACCGGGATCGTCCAGCTTGTGTTGGTCAATTGGTCTACCTGTCAGAATTTCCCGGAAATTTGGTGGCATGAACGCAAAAAAAACCCGTATTTTTGTGTGATATGGATAGACCAGTATGATTGTCCCAAAACCGAATGATAATGTACGTTTGTTAGCAATACTTTTGTGTTCATGTCCGAACCCTCGTACAACAACAGATTTAATCGGAACCCGATTTCATGGCATTGTCTGACACTGCACAGAAAAATGGAGACGTGTCTGGATAGCTTCTGACAATGTCTACCTCTAGTCGTTGCGCAACCATGGGCTCATCGCGCTTCATCAGTTGTTGCGTAGTGTCCTAAAGCTGAACTTGTCCCAACAGCTCAAGAAGTGGCTCAGGGTCCTGCGGATTCAGTCCATGCCAGCCAGATAGTCCAGCTAGTCCAGATAGATTTTCCTGACGGCTTTCAAGTAAAAAATAGCATAGGAAGTGTGTAGCTATATCTGCACCTGAAGAGGTGATTCACGGTTAGTAGCAACCATATGGACTAGAGAAGGGCGCGAAATCGCTGCAGGGAAATGCGCCATCAGAAATGTTTTTAAAAGTATGTATGGCTACGGTTTTCCCGCATCGGGGAAACATGTCTATGAATAAAGATCCTATGAATCTTTAGTTTTCATCTTGCTCCCCTCGTGGGTTGTTCCATCCTTTAGAATCCTTCATTATACGTCTGATAAGAGCGGGCGCTTTAAATGTTTCTAAACTTTTGGTCAGCCGTCTGCGCACGTACTTCTGAACATCTCAGCCGATAGAGCGCTTGAACCACATCAGTTAAGGTGCATTTAAATTACGCATAAGTTAATTTTATCCGCTCTGGTATGCCTTTTGTGTTCTCATTTTTTGGGAGTCTTTGGTTGTACATTTAATTTGTCAAATCCCGCAAATAAGCATTAGAAAGATAGTACATACGGCGAATGGAGAGCGTCTAACACGTTCAGCGGCAACGCCGTCCTCAGAAGATTGCTGTTCGGAAGATCACATGCGATTGCTAGAGTTGATTCAGTCAAGAACTGTGGAAACCCTGGTACATACTTTATTCACCCGCGGTAGACTATTGGATTGGTTATTGGATTACGACTCAAACCAACCTATTTTCACTCACAAGTGTGCTTTAAAGCCGAAAAATCAACAAAAACACAGCTCAGCGAAATGCACTCATTTGCAAACTACTTTGGTTTTGCGAGAGACTCACCTGGAACCCAGCTGAATCTCTCGGTTTTGATGTTTCCAGGCTGTTTCCGGTCCTGGGCTGTCGAAGGGTTTTCAGCAACCTTATTAGTAGTGCATTACACAACTATGTATGTATCGCGATATCTCGAATATCGTATCAACTGAAACATGAGGCGGCGTGGTGCAGCACAGTCGGTTGCCTGGAAACATCACAAACAAGAGATTCAGGTGGGTCCCGGGTGAGTCTCTCACAGAACTAAATTTGTTTGCAAATGAGTGTATTTCGCTGATTTCGTGCAGTTTGCTTTCAAATAGAATATAAGGTTGATAGACACTCGGGGACTGCGTCCACATGATGAGCCCCAAAAGGGGCGAAATAGGCCGTCGCTGTCGAAGAATTTTTAGTAACCTTATGGGTACTGTATTAAGTGTATACAACTGTGTAATTCGGAAATTAATCAAGCACCGTAGATGATTTTTAATCACAATGCTTGTTACTGGAGAAGATCCCTTTGGTACACAATTTACGCAAAATTGCTAGTTCGCCTCTTATCAAACCAGGTGTTTGCAAATAGAAAATACACTGTTGATCTACGTCGAGTTAGGTTCAGTCCTGTGGAGTAGCTTTCAATATATTTTGCTTGTGCATGTTTACCAAGCCCCAGTTACTTGACGTGCATGTTGCCAAACTTTTCCCCGACTAAACTGTAGCATTTGTAAGTCTCTTCATCAGCTGTCTCAATCCGTTTTCAAATACGTAGACGAAGCAGAGCAATAGTTCACTTAGTTCATTGTTGTTTACATGAATCGACTGTTTTTAAGTGTTCTGTTTCATTAATTCGGTCAGAAGTAGTGATTCATTGATTAACTACTCTCGAGAAAAGTCTGAGCAACCTGGCAACTCCTGTTCATCGTGTGATACCAGAAGTAGCCCAATCTCACACCCGGTAGCTGTTTTATTTTGTACTCCTTCGTGAACACTTTTCGAATAGAAGTACGCTGTCCATCAAATTTTCAGGCTCTAGATGGTCCCCACCATTACCAAATCGCAAATCGTGGAGGGCTTTTGGTTGCTGTTCCAGCCGATACTCTGTGGCCTGATGTACTGCGATTTAGTACTGATGAAGGACGGTGTTGGCACACAATCCCTTTGAGAGCAGGAGCTTGGATTGTTGACCATACCGGAGGGACCAGCACCACCGCAAATGTTAGTGTGTATACAACCCCTGGAAACACTACACCAACGTTGCTCACTACTAGAGGGCGAAATGCAACCGTGCCTCCAGGATACCAACCAGAAAATCATACTTCAGGGGATACCACTACAACCACACCGTCGACAAACTACGAGGCATGGATTCGAGGACGTGCAGACGAGACAGTGGTGTTCACCGGGTTAGTCACTGAACCCGGTGGACGAGCGATGGCTGCAGCTGTCTACGGTTACGGTACTGTGAGTCAGCGCTGGCGTGTTGCTGTGGTCGACTTTACCACAAATGGAATGGTTACCACCCCATGTAAGTCGATTCGTTTGCAAGAACTTCATAGTTTGGGATGGATATTTTCCACTAGTTTTCTTCTTTTTAAACCTACCAAACTTCTTAATGGGTAGTTCGGTTAGAAATATCTCATTTATTCCGAGCGGTTCTGTGGCAGTATTCCATGCAATATTTGGGAACTATGGGAAGGCTAGGCAAGGTTATCCATCGGCATTTCAGATCCTGATGCGTTAATGAGGACTGGCTGAAAGGTTCTCCTCGAGATCCGTCATGTTTTAAGACCATACGCCACTTGTAAGGAGGATCGTTTTGTATATTAAGTCGTCAAGGTCATTAGGAATATTGAATCTCACCTGTTTAGTTGCGATGAAGAAATACGCGTGAAAGTGGTACTTAATCGAGAAACAGCCTATCCAGCTCATGATAAAATGCATTGAATCAAACCATCGTATTATGAACCTATTCTTCAGTATATGGTAGGCGGAGAGCCTGGGTGATTAATACAGTTTATGTAGCTCCGATGGTGGAGGCAAAGCACCCTGCTCACTGTCCTTTTGTTCCCGTCAAATTGTCGTGTATATTCTAGGCTCTGTTTGTAATCATCATCATCGTTGATAGCAGCTCCAGATGAGGACACTGGTGCTTCACTGCGTTACTGGTGCCTCTCTGCTTCACCGATTATGTTCGGCTCTCGAAGACGAAATGACGGAAATGTGATTTATTCTTCACTGCCGACTCGAGAAATCCGGCAGTAATGAGTTGCAACTTCCAACCTTTGTAGAAATATTATGTTTTCCGATCATTGTCTCCAAGTCAAACGCCAGTTTCAGCGAGGAAATAGGCAGTCAGTTGGTGGGTGGTGCGATACTATTGTGTCCGAACTGAATGAGGAATGGTTATTGTCGTACTTGTGGAATAAACAACCATTTGTCTCCCACTATCCTTTAACGAAGCCAATGTAAGCTACCGATGGAAATATTGACACTGTACACCCAGGAAAACAGTCAAACTTTGTTTTTCCCCAGGAAGAGTAAACCTTTTCCGACCCGATGCAGGTTTGTCCTTTCAGTCCCATTGTGTAGTCTGCCCCAAAACCGATAGCATGTGACTGTTTCGGCATTAGTCATCACGCTGATGGGTCTGCAGGCCACAAGCCGACATGATAATAACGATTCTCAGCACAATCCGTTTGGGGGTGCAGTATACCTTTGCATACTACATGCGGTGGAATGTAGGTCACAACTGTCATTCGAACAACTCTGTCGTTACTCCATCTTCGGTCCACTACACGCGTGCTTTGATTGGCAGATTGCACATTCCCGATCCTCAACTAGCTGGAAAACTCCGTGAGGAAGGAACGCTGTCCACCATTCTCGACGAGTTGGACGGTAACATCCGGCCTTTTCCTCCTGACGCCATAGGAAGCCTGTTCAATGATGTGTTGTTTGGCGTTGGTGCGCATGATTGTTCGCCTGCGACCGGCTGTTTACCTTTGTCGAAAAATTTGCTATTTCACGCCACGTCGCTTGAATTTCATTCTTATTTGAACTTATTATGAGGCTTCTAGACCGTAGCCTGATTTTGTTTGATTGCCGATAAGCCCGTGCCAGACTAAGCATAGGAATAAGCGTACATTTGTACGAACTATGTTAATTCCCAATGTCTGACCTCTAATATCTAGTAGCATACTATTCGACGGTTGTTCTGAGTGGCACATGTCACTCAACTGTGATGATTCAAATGTGTTGTAATGGGTTGGAAAGTAGCCAGCACACGTGATTGCAGCACCTGAGAGACCGTTGAAATTCATATTTCGCTCACGAATGTAGGCACATTTTACTCGTAAAGGAACAGCGCTTCAATGGTGAACGCAGGGCCTTGATGGAAGGGGAACAGTCGAAAACAGCTTTGCATTTCTCGACAGGGGAAGAAATTCCCCTGAATTACGATAATTCACACTAGTGTCGTCAATTTATCTACTGTTGTCTTTTTTCGTAGAAAATGATTATTATCCTTCCCCATACTGAGTAAATAATATAGTAATATGGTCGTTGTCTAGCTGCCATGCCACCCGAAGGAAGTAGCAGGGCTGAAATACTGTCAAGCTGTCCAAGCCTGGACGGGGGCAGTGGAGGTGCAGAGGCTGGATTCAAACTACGGACCTTCCAGCTGGTAAATTCGCGCTTTAACCACTGAGCCTGAAATCAAGGAATATGTAGCAACCTCAGTGGATCTCGTTCAATGCTAAACCTATCCCAAAGAAACGCATGTAAATGCAGTGCACCTTGAGGTGATTCTGAGAACACGCTTACCTCGTAGGGGGGAAGCAAAGACGAGTCGGAAAGATCCAAGGTTAAAATAACGATTCGTCACTCGTTAGTGCTTGAAAGAGTGCTATTTTATGCTTGATTATTGAGCATTTGATCTAACCGCTAACGTGACCAGACATGGGGATCCAAGAAATGATTTCCCCAGCTCCGAATGGACGTCTGACAATTACCGTAAACTTGAGCTCTTGGATAAATAGGGTGTGCCTAAACAGGGAGTGTCTAGCTAGTGGTGCAAAAAGTAACTTCTGTATAGTAGTCGAAAGCTAATTATATTCGATGTAGTTCAATACCGTTAAGGCAAAGCTAATTTGTCTCATGGAAGTCGCTTGATCAAATATGTTCTTAGGTCACCAGGTGTCGAGCAGTCCAGGCTTGTTAAATTTTGATTTCACAGACCCTGTAGAATGGCAATATGACAGTGTTTTCTTAGAAGTTAGAAAGTGATAGGGTAGAAAGATAAATCGCCCGTCTCGCCAAGTGATTTACAGAAACTTATGTCTACTTAGGGGCGACAACATTAAATTGCATACTTCCAACGTGCAGCAACCGTTCGGATAATTACATTGTATGCTCAGTGAACCTGAGCCCAGTTATATGCACCTTTGACTAAATTGTGGACGGGTAACGTTGGAACTTGCAGCCATTGAACGGCAGAAGAAAGTGGGTTTCTGATATCCCTAAGCCAGGTCAATTATTCTGGTATCTCTATGCTATTCACACCAGTATGAGCACCTGTAGCCTTCATAAATAACATTTCTGGAAGCAGCCTTACCTGCGCTGTTTAGAACACCGATAGAGAAGTAGGCAGCTGTTGAACCGAACTTTCACCATTTGCTTATACCCGATCCCTTTCACGAAGCTTCATGCCGCTCCCGTAGGGCTTTCTCTCCTATGGACAAACGATGTGTTCTAATGCTGAATTTCATCCACCAATGATAACACACAGCCATTAAATATGGTATAGCACTGGTTTGTTCGATGCATCAGCGTGAATGGTAAAAGCACCACGTAAACTTAACGATTGTCAATCAGGGTAATGAAGTTGCATTTTGAGTTTGCTCAATTACGTAAACCTGCCACTATCCTACAAATTACACGACCATCACTTTCAAACTCAGTGTAAGTGTGTTGTCGTTCAGATCTGTCAGCAGACTTGGTCACGCAGAATTTGGTCACGCTGTGGTCGCTACAACCACTTAAGATGGGTGATTACGACCGCAGATGTTCAACAGGTCGAAGCATCAATTAAATGACATTAAATAGAAAGTAGTGTATGCATGACCTTGGTGATTAACTGACTACAGCTAACGTACAATCCGTTGTATATATTGTAATGCTTTTCCTTACCAGCCTAGCTAAAGATACATGGCGCATCCAATCCGCTTGGATGGCACAGTGGGCCTAATAACACACCTTGGGACTAGAAAACTTTAATTCAGGTCTGCACTATAGCATCGCCATCTATCTCTGGTAAAAAACCAGAGAGTGCTTTGTACAGGGTCGAATTTTCTGGTCTGCTGTTCTAGTTTGTGCATTGCAGGTGCTCAAGCACAAGACTTTCATGCCATCTGGATTCATATTCAAGGTATACAAAACTGCTTATAAGACAGAAAATGAACAGATTGTGGTGACGGTCGTAGAAGCTGAGTAATGTCGGTTTAAGTCATTACTGGCACGACTGCGGCAAGGTTTATCCCTAGAAACCGGTTAGCCTTGAGGTAGCCTTCCTTATCCACCATCATTGCTTTGTTTTATCAAGTCCTGATTCGTCATCGAGGTTCTTAAAGTCTGTTTTACTGTACATGAGAGGCGTACGAAAGAGGCCGGAGTTAATGACCGTATTCGAGTGATTGACCAACCAACCCCGTTGATGCACGTCTACGAGTATACAATCCCGACTGCAGTCACGTAAAAAATGTCACAACTGGTTCAATTCAAATGTACTCTCAGTTGCTGTTTTTTTTTCTTTTTCACTCCGTTTCCGACTAAGTCATCCATGTTCAAACAGTTTCTGTTGGTTTTTACTCACCAACACCCACCATTTGGTTGTTGCCCTGTTTCCTGCTTTGTGACAAAGGAACGAGTTGTGTAATTACCCTTGATACCTAAAAGCCGTTTAGCAGGGACCTCCTACAGGCAGCCACCCATCAAAACACTAGGGTTTCGCAACACTTGGATTCTCTTTTTGGGCCGTGACTCACGATCTGCAAGGTTGTCCACCTCATTCTCTACAGCGGTTGATGCACCTGCAACATGACGTGGCTATCGCGTGGAGGCGTCGTTTGGTACATAAACACTGACTGTTTTCGTGGTCCTCCTTGTTTAGATTGATTGTGCATGTGTTCCTGGGCACATACCCACACAACATAGAAGCAATGCGCAGGAACACCACGGGTGTACTGAGTGTGGGAAATACAGTCGGCCCTTTGGGGTCGCCTACGTTTACTTCCCATTGTTGATTGATGGACCTGTTGGCGACACTCAACCCAAGTGTATGGCCCCGTCTCAGCCGTGTTTATCGGCGAAAAACGCAGACCCATCCGATGGTGAGGGGACAGTTGATCATGTCCTGCTGACGTGCACTTTCCTCTGCCAGAATAGACCGTATGAACTAAATGTCCAACAAGTGCCCGAGCCTCAGTGCATGGTTCAAACTACTTTACTTCCTCAGCTGTACGACGGAAAAGT